GGCCGGGCGCGATGCAGCCGGGCGCCGAGGGCAGCGCGTCGTCCCACAGCGCCCCTGCCTGCGGGGGGAAGCCCGGCGTGGTGGGGGTGGACGGCGGGGACTGCTTGAAGTACATGGAGGTGCTGGGCAGCACCTCGTCCTCCGGGCCGGAAGGGGGAGGAATGGATGGCTGCTGCTGCTGCTGTTGCTGCTGGTGATGGTGATGATGGTGGTGGTGATGGTGGTGGTGATGGTGGTAGCCGTGCGCGCGCCCCTCTTCCATCTTGATCAAAGGCCGCGGCCCGGACGGCTGCATTTGGTACAGGCAGGAGGGCTTGAGTTCGTAGCTGCTCGAGTAGCCTTCCATGAAGGTACTGAAGCTGGGCAGGGACGTGGTGGCCGTGGCCGTGATCTCGGTGCTGCCAAGGTCCATTGTCAGCTTGGTGTAGTCGGGGTTCATGATCTCTGTGGTGTATTCCGAGCCATAGGTCTGGGCTGCATAACTGGAACCTGGAGGTGAAGGGCTATACTGGGCTTGCACGCAGGGCATATCTGCAGGGACAGAGGAAAGGGTCTCTCAGAAGCAAGTCAACACTCCTTTCCGAGCTAAGAGGCAGCCTTGGATTCATTGCTCTCTAATCTGGGAAACAGAGAGGAAGTGACATCCTCTCTTCTTTCTGGTAGCATAGACCATAAATGTAAAGCCCCACACTTAACTTTCTTTCTCCCTGGGAAGAAGGCTGAATCCCTGATAGAGGGGCCACAGAATGCCGAAAGGCCTCCTGGGGACCTCTGTACTCATTTTCCCTCCCTTGCCCAGTCCTCTACCAGATCTGGGAAACTTGATGTCTTCCCTCATAAGCCCAGAGATGTTTTTTAAAAAGTGGCTTTGAATTGTATAAACTAATTGGAGTGGCCCCATCACCTACAAGCTGGGAGGACAAAGAGAAAACCAGCAAATGCCCTGTTAGTTTATTCTGGGAGGAAAAGGCCATTGTCTCCCCCCTCCCCACCCAAGCCACCCACACTGATGTGTAAACCTATGCGTTAGTCAAAAAGGTGTCCTACGTGGAACTTACTGGCCAAGGGAGACAGTGACATTTAACATTTTACGAGTGCCAACGGAGGCTGCCCACACACGTTGTGGTTGCTTTCTCCCACCCCCTCCCCACTCCTCCAAACAGAGCTAGCTGCCTGCACAAACTGGACCCCTGTTGATGATTTCAGCCAGCTAGGTGGTTAGGTGGGGATGTAGGCCCAGGAAATGGACTCGGGGGAGTTTGCACCATCTGCAAAGAAAAAGATCAGCAGCTGCAAAAAAACACCCACCAAAACTGTCCTCTGCTATACAGTATATGTATGTATATATGTATATATTTACACATACATATAGTTCCCAATTCTTTTTTTTTTTTCCTTTTTGTCTTTTTTTTTCCGTGATCAGCAATGGATCGCAACCCTCGGTGTTGCGCCTGCACCTCGCTCAGCCAGTGAGCGGCCTGTCTGTACGTGGGATCCGAACCCTCCGCGGGAGTGCCGCTGCGCTCCCAAGCGGCGCACTGTAGCAGTGCGCCACCCGGCCGGCCCTAGTTCCCAATTCTGACTAATGAAGTATATCAGTGGCTGTTTTTATGACAACAGTTTACAGCTATCATGATAGGCAAGTTGGTCTAGGTATTTTCTTATGACAGAAGAATTAGTCCCCTGGAAAAGAAGAAAGCAGTTTCTGAATAGATTTGGTTTCTCTGCCAGTTTGACTATGTTGAGCCCCCAAAGCCACTGGTATCCAGGGTGCTTACTATTGTTTGGAGAGGCTGAACTGGGTGAGAAGGCCCTGAGAATTATTGTATATAGTAGATGATTTATCAAATTATTTTCCTTTCTTTATGGCTAAATATAAATGATAAAATGGGAACTTTCTGGTGGTTGGTTTTTCTGAGCCAAAGGAAAACCAGGTGCTTAATATCTGTTCAAACTGTATGGTGTAAAAGTTGTGACTAATAAGAAAGTGAGTACTTCACATTTCCTCTGACATCTTTCTCTTACCCACATTTCCAAATCTGATTGAGTCATGCGTGTATGGGATGAAATCTTGACTTGAAAAAAGGTGATGAGGGCCTGTTGGAAGAAGCAGTGATGAAGAGAGGCCAGTTCAAGCCTTTTTCAAGCCTTTCTTTTCCAAGCAGGGCCTTAAAAACACACTCACTAGTTTGACGTGAAAGGATTACTTATCTTGCTGTCCAATTGTTGGGATGAAATGAAAGGCTAATCATTCAAAAGAAAGAACACTGTCTGATCTTTTTTCTCCCTTCAGCACCTCTAAGATTTCTCCCTTGGTCTTTTGTGTCATTTTCCCCTGCCAATCCCTACCTATCGCTCTTCTTTGTGTCTTTCTGAGGTTTCCAGGTAAAAGATGAGGTTGCTGGGACTGTGTTCTATTTATCTGTGTATCTCTGGTGCTTGCACAGGCTTGGCATCTAGTATCCCTTTAACAAATTTGTCAAGAGGTGGTACAAACCAAACCTGCAATCCTTTCTTTTGCCAAACTCAAATTTACTCCTTGGTTTTCAGCTCAAATGCTTTTCTCTTTCTCTCTGAGCTTCAATACTGTAAAACTTCTGCACCTAAATGATTTTGGTTTTAGACATACAAAAATGCTCTATATGGCTTTAAATGATTCCATAACTCTTAAATGCATACACTGGATATAAAGAAGGGCAAAAATGAAAACATTAAAAATGTATAAAAGACTCTCATCTATTGGTGTATTTTCCTTTTTCTTAGGAAAAATAATTTTGAGAAGTGCAATGCTTAATTTAATCTGGATGCTTCACTCGGTAGCAACAGGGTGTGGTATACAGAGGAGCTTCGTGCGAGGAAGCCACCTGTGCTGTGAAATACGAGGACAGCAGTCACTGTCCTGGCACTGGGCAAGTCGACCAGCCTTCCTGCTGGGTGTGTGGTTCCCCCACCCCCTTCTCCCAGTCCCGAGGAATAAGGTGTCGTGCCTTCAGACCTACCTGGAGGGTATCTTGCGCGCTGAATGGTGGGGCTGGGGGTCTCTCCAGCGGAGGCTGAGAGTGTAGTAGGTGGGGATGTCCGGCGAGGGGAAGCGACGGCGGTGCTGCCCAGCTCCACTGAGGGTCCAGGCTCACGGCCCGGACTTGCCGGGCTGCGTTCTTCCACAGTGGGCTCTGCAGGCACAGGGAGAGAGGACAGATGTCACAGTGAGACCAAGCTTGATTACCGCGGCCAGGACTGGGAGTATTGGGGGTGGTGGTGGAGTGGGCAGGCAGCCTCTAGAAATGCTACGTTAATGACGAAGAATTATCATAAGGGTAAGGGTGCTTAAGGGTACCGGAGTCCTTGGGGAAGGAGCATCACACCGCCTTGGGGAAGCCAAGCAAAGGTTGTCCGCACCCACCGCGCTCACCGCTGTTTTGTGTCACCCGAACCGAGGCAAAAAACCACGCAGAGTGTCGTCGCCCAGATAGTGATCTCTCTCCCCCCACAATTGGTTCCGAGCTCGTGAAGTCAGGAAAACCAAAGAAAGGAGAACACTTGAGGAATGAGTTCTGCACGAATTCGGGGGTCAGTGAGTGTGCACGAGCGGAAAATAGCCATTCTCCAACTCCACCCGCCCCCACCCCTCAAATATAAATTTTACACGTTGCAAAGGAAATGCACAAGGTCCGGAACGAATGCATGAATGCCCCGAGGAATTAAGAAAGTCTGCGCTTTTCATTCTAAATGCTAATGGAGCTTCTCTTCTATTAGCCGTGAGTTTCGGGGGCCAGGGGTCAAGCAAACAAAAGGGCACAGTGGAAAGAAGGCCCGCGCTGGAAGCAAGGCGGTGAGGCAGATAGCGTTCTCGGCTGGTGGAGCGGCAGAGGGAGTCCTCTGCGCTCAGCGGGCGGTGTCCCCGAGGGTGGGCGACTTTGAGGCTCCAGGCCACCCCGCGGCCCGGAGGGGGCAGATTCCGGAGGGCGCTGAGTGCGGCTCCCGGGCGGACGTCTCAGAACACAGCCCCAGCGAAACTTCGTAGCTGAAAGCGCCGCTCGGCGGGCCTCCGGGAGGGATCCGGATGCCCCATACTCCGGCCTATAGCGCCCCCTTTGCCCGGGGTGGGCACAGCTCGAAGGGTGGGAACGTGGACCGAAAACCTCCCCCAAACCAAACCAAACCAAAACCTCCCGGGAGCGCGAGCCGCGAGGGTCGTGTAAGTTTCGTCTCCCGCCACCCCTGCGTCCGGAGCTTGCCTGCAGGAAGAGAGAAAGGGGCTCAGAACCCCCAGGTCCGGAAAACCCTCGACGGCCAGGAAATGGGGGATTCCCTTTCCATCCCCGGCCCCAGCCCGAACTGCTCCGACAGAAAGCTTGCACTCGCTGTAGCGCACGCATAAGCAGATCTTCCCACGGCTGTAGCATGTGCTTCCTGTCCCCCCGCATCTTCAATGGGGGTCTCCGGCAACCTCCCAACCCCTCCTCCAGTAGGTGCCCACATTTCCGCCCCTCCCTGGGGGCCTCTCAAGAGGAATCTATTCCTGAGGGATGGCCTATGAACTCAGGTGAGTCGGGGGCGCGTCTCCCCAAGGAAGGGGTTCCCCTCGAGCGCCCTACGTTCGCAGGAGAGAGTCACACCACTTTTCCTACAGCCCAGCGGAGCTCCCCACCGCTCTCTCCGCCCCCCAATCGGCTGGTTACCTAGGCAAAGCCTCCGCGCCTGGAAACACGTTGCACCGCTCGCGGCCGCTGGGGCCGAGAGCACAGAGCCTCGGGATTGTAAATTAGGGAGAAATAACTACCTCTGTCAAAGCCCCTTTCTTTCTCGTGGGCAGACGAAAGGAACACCCCCGTGTTCCCCTCCCCATGGTGAAGTGTGTGGAGGAAACCGTGAAACGCACCATTGTGACCCGGGCTCCTCCGCGGAGTTTCCAACCCTGGGGAGCGGGGGCGGAGGTTGGGCGGGGGCAGGAGGAGTGGAGAACAGACCGACAGAAAGGGAAAGACAAATTCTCAGAAAGACCGAGAGAGACTAGACAAACCGCGGGGCAGAATTTCTGCGAGCGCACCAGCCCTGGGAGGGGGTGGGTGGGTGGGTGCGGGAAGAGGGATCGGGTGTGGAGGTTGCTGTGGTCTAAGGAATCTTTGATATTCACATTACGATCATCTTGTTCAGCTAAAATAACTCGATAAAGTAACTTCATTCATTGTGCCCAGTAGCCGCATTGGGCAGCTTTTTCTTTCCTCAACTAGGTTCTATAAAATATTTCCCCATCGTGGGAAAAAGAGAAAGAGGATTGGATTAGCCATGAAATGACTGAACGGCACCCTGTACCTCTCTCCCGGCACCCTAAGGCCCTGGGATAACAGCCCGAGATTTTTGATTACTAATCTTCTTGCAGCTTTTCCCTCCGGAGAATCCGGAGGCATAAATAAAAGGCAGTCTCCAAGACCGTTCTTGGAAATCCAGGGGCAAATGCTTTCTCCCTCTCTCTCACGAGTGCCCCGAAGCTTCCAACAGGTTCGAGAGGTGCCTTTCGCAGTCAGTGTCCGCAGGCTGCGCTCGCAAGACCTCTCTTCTCTCACGACCGAGAACTTTCATTTCTACTAAGAGTGAAACACTCGGAGCAACTTTCCAAAAGCGCGAGTTCTGTCAGTGAAAATGTAAAGCATGCCTCTCCCACACCTAGCCAAGGCCCGAAGAAGAGGGACACCGTCCCCACGCGTGTCGCGGAGCGGGAGTCGGCAATTACACCCGGTTATCTCCGAAGGGAAAAGTGTAAACCAGCAAGTAATCGACGCCTGGCAGACGTGCCTAGTGGAGTCCCAGGCTCATTTCAGTACAATAAGCCACATTCCTACAATTACACCCTCTTTACTGAGCTCCTCCGAGCGCCTCTGCAAACTACTGCCGCCAATGCCCGGGCCTCTTCCCTCCCAAGCTTCCTCCCAGACAACCAGCTCTGTGCCACCATTTGGTACATTAAGTTGGACAAACCAGAGTCCCTATTTTCAATATTACTGAAAAGGCAGGAAAATTACTGCCGTTCATCACCGGAGCTGCAACTCCCTATCGCTGCCGCCGCCGCCGCCGCCGCCGAGAGCATCATTACCATGACAACTAGAGCCGAAATACCCTGAATTACATCGCTGGAGCTGCTACTGCACAAATCCCGGTCCTCCTCTTTGTTAGAGGCTTTTCGCCTCTTCGGGTAGGGGGAGGAATCCCACGAGCTCCAGAGATCCCCGCGGGCCCGCTACAGAGGAAAAGTTTCAGATCAGAACGTGCGGGCCGCCCGGCTAGAAAAGCCCGAGCAGGGAGGCGCGGGTGGGGGGAACCCCACACTCAAAGTTGTCAATTTCAGGAGCGACGCTTCCCAGCACGCCAACTTTTTAGCAAGTCTCCTTAATAACTGGGCGAATGTGATACGTACTTGAGTGCTGTGGCGGTTCCGTCTTTAGAGCGAGTTTCTAGAGAGCAGTCTCGAAATCTGCGCTGGTAGGGGGAGTCACAGCTGCTGTCCCGGAAGGGCTGCGGTGTATAAGCCCAGCGGCTCGCAGAGGCGGTGAGCGGCAGGCCGAGGATGCTGCGACCCCGAATCATGGGAGAGCGCCGCCGAGAGGTTCCGCGGGCGTCCTAGCCCCAGCCGCGACCAGGGGGGAGGATGCCGCCGCTGTTCCCACCTCCACAGCTACTGCCGGCGCTGTCAGCGTTGCAAAGTGTGCCTGGGAGGGTCGTCCGGCTGCCGTGCCGCGCTGCACCGGCGAGGGCGCAGGGCAAGAGGGGTGTGAGCGCGCGGGAGAGAGTGGAGTGTGTGTGCGGAGCGTGTGTGCGCGCGTGTGTCTGTGTGTGCGAATGAGGGAGCGGGTGTGAGAGTGTCTGTGTATGGGGAGCGGAGGAGGAGCAGGAGCTGGAGGGGTGGGGGGCGGGAGGCAGGAGACTCCGCTCTCCCGGCTGCGCGTTCGCTCGCTCTCTCGGCACGTCATTTATGCCACAGGAGCCCTAGCGGCCTCTCCATAGAGTGCTTGGAATGCGAGACGTCAATGTGACGCCATGGGACGCTACGTCACCCTCCTCCTCCCTCCCCTGGCCCAGCCGGTTCCGCGTGTGCGAGGGAGGGTGTGTGTGTGTGTGCGTGTGTGCGCGCGCGCGTTCCCCAGCCACTCGCACGGCCGCACAATGGAAACTGCGCCGCACGGCTGGCCACTGCCTGGAGACCTATCGGACCCGCGCTGCCGATTCCTATGCCGCGACGCTGCTCGCTAGGGCGCGCGTCTGCAGGAGGGGGCAGCGGCCCGGCCGCGGGTCAGGCGGGACCGCCCAGCTGTCAGGGTCGGGTGGAGTAGAGTTGGAGGCGTGCTATTGGCGAGCCTCCGAGGCTGCCCCGAGGCACAGAGCCAGAGCGAGGGGGTAAGGGAGAGGACAGCTCTTCCGAAAGGGAAGGTCTCTCCAGCCAGCTTCTGCGAGTGACCTGGCAGCCGGTGCAGAGGAGTCTGGCACCAGGTGCAGCTGCGCTTTCCTCGTGCAACGGTTCTAAAGCTGTTTACATCTCTCCGGCTCTCTGTGCCTAGGCTAATTCCCTCCTCCTCCCATCATTTGCTGGGTGCGTGTTTCGCAGACTCTGGGGATAAGGTTTTTTTGTTTACACTTACGGTGTGGGTTTTCCAGCTGGACATATTATAACCCAGCGAAATGCACATCCATCATCCACAAGCGCGCTGCCGCAGAAACTACTTAATGTGTATAAAACAAACACACACGTGTTCAACAGCTGAGCGGGTCTGATTGTTGCAAATTGTCTCTCCCCCCCAGCACCCCGTCAGAAATGAAATGGAACTCTTAACTTGCACTTTCACTTTTTGATGGTTGTAGGTGTCCCCCCATCTCCCAATTAAGCATTTCGAAATCAACAGGATTTATTAGTCAGTCCCTCCCTAGGGAATTTGCTCTGGTCTCCTGGGACACATCTGTCAAGAAACAGTGCCGAAAGCCTCGGCGAGTGTACGAGAGAGAGCAATTCCTTCCTGGAAATGACAAATTTAAGTGTGAAGTTCTTACTGAAAACAAAAACAAAAAATTATTAGAGTTAAGGACTCCTAGTTCGAAAGGTTGCTGAGTGAAAGCAACCTCTTTCAGAAACGAATGTTTGAGGAGAAAATATTTGAGTGAACCAGTGCAAACAGAC